CTACAAGACAAGATGGTTTTTAAAAAAAAAAAAAAAAAACGCTATACAAGAATCAAAGGAATCCAGATAAAAATAAATATATATAATTTGAAACGGCAAGGGAAAACAGGAGAATCATTCAAATGCGAGCCTCTGAGTGCCAACTAAAGAGGCATAGCCACCACCCTTAGCCAGCAGCTCCAAATGGGTGCCTAACTCTGCAATCTTACCTTCCGAACAAACAGCAATTTGGTGAGCATTTTGGACGGTGCTTAATCGATGAGCAATCACTAATGAAGTCCTTCCCTTCATCAACTTATCTAGAGCCTCCTGAACCAGTCGCTCGCTTACCGCATCAAGAGCACTGGTTGCCTAAAAAGGAAAAATAAAATTAAATCAATCAAATATATAATAATAATTTTAAGTAAAATGAAGAGCTCAGCTATCAGAATGTACCTCATCCAATATCAAAATTGGAGCATTCTTTAGAAGGGAACGAGCAATGGCTATTCTCTGAAAACCAGAAAAAAATCAGTAATACTTAAAAAAAAAATTGCGGAAGAGCTCAATTAAGCTCAAGGAGATGATTTACATAAAAACCAACGAATTATAATCTATTTACATACCTAAATTTTAAATCTTTTATTTACTTTAACACAACACTTCAGAATTCAACTCATATCAAAACATAAGCATGGAATGTAAATATATAAGAATTCTATGATATATATGTAAGTTCTCACTCAGATTTACTACCTGTCTCTGCCCACCACTCAGGAGGCCTCCACGCTCACCGACTTGGGTGTCATAGCCCTTGACCAAAATGAACAATATCAGCATTGTGCACATTTTTTTATGGGTGAATAACGAGGGAGTAAAATAAGCAGCAAACCTGTGGGAGAGAAATTATGAAATCATGAGCATTAGCAGCTTTTGCTGCCTTCACTATGTCTTCTCTCGACACATCCTTGTCAGGGAGTCCAAAAGCAATGTTTTCCCCAACTGATACAGAGAAAAGCACCGGTTCCTAACACACGGTAAGGATGAGTTAGGAAATAAATAAGGGGCATTTACGTGCATACCGCTCAATTAGTATATTTTTACATATCTAACATCTGAACTTGGCTTTTTTATATTTATAACACTCAAATCTTTTGTTTGTATCATGTAAAAATATAACTATTTTATCTTTAAAGTGATATACACCTTTTTATGAATGGGTAAGGTGCCAAAATTGTAAAAATTGAAGTTCAAATGATAGATATGTAAATACATATGTATGTAAATTCTCCAAAAAAATATTAGACTAATGTGTATATATCTGAACAAGTAAAGATGAAAAGTAGAACCTTTACAGTGATAGAGATATGCAAGACTCAGCACAGTGAAAATATGCAAGCACTATGTATGTTTAACCTGAGCATTCATAAGCCAAATGAAATAATTTAAGCTTAGGTAATTTAAAGAAGAAGAAACAATGAACCAGTATGATAAGGGAAGCACTGGAAATTTAATCCAGATTTTTAATGCATCCCTGTCAGCATTGAAATTGGGTGCCCATTAATGGAATAGGGAAAAGTGAGAGAGATTTCAGTTGTTTGTATGAAAGAGGTACAGGTAATGGGGTAAGTGAGCCCAAATTGGATGGGTAATATTCCAAATTTAATGGGGGACAACTAGTGCAATTTTGGGTGAATTAGTCCCCAAAATCTCAAGTACATCCTAAAAGTAAAACATATCTTGATCTCTCCCAACGAATTCCATATCAGAGTGGGATATCATCATGCCTCGAGCCAAAAGACTAGACAGCAACAAGTGTTAACGATTCACATGTATCCTGCGTCCATTGATGGGGCAAGAGCTTCCTTGAATGTTAAACTAGAATGAAGAGATGAATGCATTATAATTGACAACTGCTAATCATTCATCAGACATTTAAATAATTATACTCCTAATAATAGTTGTCACTGACAAATTGCGCATCATGGTGCGAGGGGACTCATTGAAGCCACATCACGTAGCATGTAGCACAGTGCTTGACATTTAAAAAAAAAACGAAAGGAAAAAAAAAAGTAAAGAATATATAATAATAATAATTTGAGAGTCAAATAAGTATATGGCATAAGATGCACTTCATCCAACACATTACTATACTAGAGTAAATGACGCATAATAAAATAACATCCTCTGAAAACAATAAATTTTATTTCGTTCATAGAAAATAGAGAAATGGTTAATTGCGAATTTCACAAAGATATATGCTAAAATATGATGAGGTGTGGAGCCAAGAAGAGCTCCTATGGCTGTAAGGAAGCTGGGCAAAGCAGGAAAAGTAATTCCGGCGCAGCACACCTGCGCCTAGACAGCATGCCCGCGCCTGAACAGTGTGTCCACGCCTACTGACAGAGGCCACTGCACGCCCACCCCGAGTTTTGCGATGCTCCAATGAAGTCTATTGGGCGCATATGCACCCGATTATAGAGGGAGCAGCATTCTCGCACCAAGTGTAGTTACTCTTACCATTTTGGTTTAAATCCTTAACAACGTAGTAGGATCTTGCATGTGGTTCAATCGACAAAAATTTTCTTAAACAAGACAAGTGTTGGAGAAGAAGATTTCAGCATGCAATTTATCTTGTGAGATCGAGAGGAAAGTTTGATGCAAAATCTTATAAATTTCATTCATTGTAGAGAGAAGATCTAAGTGGTTAATATGTACTATTATGAATTTCTAGAGTAAAATTTTTTTGGTAATGTGGCTCCATTACTTTTTCCTTTCTCGGGTTTTTTCCCATTAAATCTCGATGTATTTTTCTAGATTGTTTTGGTTGTGCTTCTGTTCGAATATTTTTTTATGGTTTTCTGGAATTACTGTGTTTGACTTTAAATTGATCAAAGCCATAGTATAAGTAAAAGATTTTTATCCCAACAAAATGATATCAAAGCGGATGTTTGACTCGAGGGGAACAACCAACAATTTTTTAAAAGGCGTGAGCATTGCAAGGAGACATATTAGTTGTTATGGTGCTAGACGTAAACCACAAAGCGCAGAGCGTAAGCCCCACAGTATTAAAAAATAAGGAATATAAATATTATGAGAAAAAAAAACTATTTGTGTAAAATAAAAAAAATTAAACACAATCAAAACAAGTCTTCTAACATTAGAATCTTCAAGATACTAGCAAAATACACAAAAAAATAAAAAGTAGAAACATATAAAAATAAGTAAACATGTTTGAACCAAAACTATCTTATTATAGTATTACCGTACTTAAAAGGCAAAGATTGCTCCTACTGTGGCGGCAAAGGGAAAAAAAGCATGTTATGTCATCAAAATTATATCACTAACTGTGATCATGCATCTATGCATTTCCCAAGGAGAATCGAATCAGCCCACCTTCACTTTCTTTTAATTAGCAATTCAACAAGATCTAAAGAGACCAAACATCAATTAGTTTTCTGTGATTGTAATCTACAACAACAACAACAACAACAAAGCCTTAATCCCACTACGTGGGGTCGGCTACATGAATCCTTTTTCTCCATTGCGTTCTATTTAGTGTCATATTTTCATTGAGTTCTAGTAAATTAAGATCATTTTCAATACAATAAGCCCAAGTCTTCCTAGGTCTACCTCTGCCTTTCTTAACACAAGTCGAATCTAAAACATCTACTCTCCTAACCGGATCATCAGATGGTCGACGTTTAATGTGACCAAACCATCTAAGACGACTTTCTCTAATTTTGTCCGTCACAGGAGCTACACCAACCCTATCACGAATATATTCATTTCGCACTTTGTCTCTAAGTGTAAAGCCACTCATCCACCTAATTTTTCTCATCTCGGCAACACTTAACTTATTATTATGCTTCTCTTTTAAAGGCCAACATTCAACGCCATGGAGCATTGCAGGTCACCACTGTCTTATAAAATTTTACTTTCAATCTAAGATGTACTTTTCTATCACACAAAAGGCCTGATGCATTCCTCCACTTCAACCAACCAATTTGAATTCTACTATTAACATCCCTATCTATATCACCATCGCTTTGACAACGGACCCAAGATATCTAAATCGTTCACACCTTTTAATAAATTTGATCAGTCAAAGTCACACTTCTGTCACTAGAGCTATTACTACTAAAATTACATCCCATGTATTCAGTTTTAGTTCTACTTAAACGAAAGCCTTTATACTCCAATGTAGACCTCCATAATTCAAGTTTTTCCTGGGTTTGTTCTCTCGTTTTATCCACGAGAAGGATATCGTCAGCAAAAAGCATACACCAAGGTACATCCTCCTGTAGATGTCCAGTATGACCATCCATAACTAAAGCAAAAAGATATGGGCTTAAAACCGATCTCTAATGTAATCCAACAAAAATAGGAAAATATTTTGTCAATCCTCCTTCAGTTTGAACACAAGTAACAATTCTAGTATACATAACTTTAATGACTTGAATATAAGTCAGATCAACACCTTTCTTCTCGAGAACTTTCCAAAGGATAACTCTTGTAGCCTTATCGTAAGCTTTTTCTAAAATAATAAAAAACAAATGTAGATTCTCCTTATTATCTATGAACTTCTCCATCAAACCTCTCAATAAATGTATAGCTTCCATCGTACCCCTGCCAGTCATAAATCCAAATTGATTATGAGAAATCTTTGTGAGACGTCTTCACCTATGTTCAATTACCCTCTCTCATAACTTTAAAGTATGACACATCAACTTAATTCCTCTATAATTTGCACACTCTTGTGCATCCCCTTTATTCTTAAAAATGGGACCAAAATACTCTTCCTCCACTCCTCAGACATCTTCTTAGTTTTTAAACATTAAAGAGTTTAGAAAGAGTTTAGTAAGCTAAGAAACTCCCAAATATTTCCACAGTTCAATTTGGATATCATCAAGTCCTACAGACTTTCCATCCTTTATTTTCTTTAAAATCTCCTCAACTTCTTTTTTGCTAATGCGACGGTAAAAATGAAACGTTTTATTATTATTCACAACTTTAAAATCACTAAGGTTGATCGTATTTTAAGAAACTTATTAAAAAGTTTATCAAAATAATTCACCCACCTATGTTGAATATCTTTTTCTAAGAAAAGTACTTTTTGATTTTCATTTTTAATACACTTTACTTGAGTTAAATCTTTACTTTTCTTTTCTCTTTGTTTGGCTAGTTTATGCATATATTTTTCACCTTCCTTAGTATCTAATAAATTATAAAGATCATTAGAAACAAAATTTTTAGCGTCACAGATTTTTCTTTTAGACTCCCTGCGGACCGTTTGATATTCTTACCAGTTCTCTAAGCTTTTACATTTAAACCAATTTTTATAACATAACTTCTTATTTTTTATATTTTCTTACAATTATTATTCAACCACAAACTATTTTTATTTATTAAAATTTTTTATTTTTTTGATTCTCCAAGCACATCCTTTGCTACTTGTTTAATAGTGTTTGTTACTTTATCCCACATAACATTTGTTTCTTCATGAATATCCCAAATTACGAAATCTTGAATTTTACTCAAAAAAATAATTTTATTTGTCTTTTAAGTTTCTCCATCTAATTCTACGATAATGAGTCCTAGTATTTTTTATTTTACAACTCTTAATCTCAAAATCTAAAACTAATAAACGATATTGAATACTTAAATTATAATCTATTATGCGTTATTTTAATCGCTCATAAAGCGGACAATGCAGAACAAAAATTTTACATAAGTCCAGAGCATTTAAGAAATAAAGATTGTAAATTTTTCTAGTGAGTTGATGAATTGAGAGATGCGCCACAGGAGCGAGCTAACGAAATAAAATATGCAGTTGATGATACAGTGAAAAATGATATTAGACCTAAAGTTCTTTACAAAGACTTGACTTCTGTTCAATTTTATAAATGTAGCATTATTTTTATAGTTATTAACAATGCATTTGTTTTGATTATGGACGTGTATTCTGGAAAATAAATTATACAGCATTAGATTTTTATTTTGTAAGCAAACTTGTTTTTTTGTATCATTTGATCTATCACAATTTCTTGTGATTGTGTTGTTGTTGGAAGGTATAGAAGTCTAGGTGATTAATTAAAAGATATCACAATCAAGGTTCTCATCATGAAGGCTTAAAAGATAGAGTGCTTGTTTTGAAAAGATAGTTTGTTTATCAAGGATTTTTCAATAGTACAGTTGAAGAAATTCTTACACAACTGCATATGTACTTGCACGTATGAGAGAAAGGAGGAAGTGTAGTAGCGGTAACAATATATATTTTGTAATACGGATTAAAACATATAGTGCTTATTACAAGGCAAATAATGAAGTTACCTGATTCACAATAGATACAGCTCGAGCCCATTCCCTTTTATCAAATGCCCGGACATCTTCTCCTGCCACTGTTATTCGACCTCTGGTTGGCTGTAAATGCAATTTAATATACCATCTAATTTCCAAACTTAAAATACAAGTTTAAAATTAAAAATTACCTCATAAAATCGAGCCAATAGTTGCACAATAGTACTTTTCCCGGATCCACTAGGTCCAACAAGAGCTGTTACTTTTCCGCACGTAAGTATAAGATTCAGACCATTTAAGACTTCAACATCGGATCTCAAAGGATAAGAAAAATATATATCTGTTCATCACAACAAAGATTTATCCAGCAAACACAGAAAATTGACAAATAACATAATATTACATTTTCAGCAAAATGTAGGATCTCTAATGGAAAAATAAGGATCAAGTTTGTTAATATTATTGATGCTGCACAAGACTGACATTAGTGTAAGAGAATAAATAAAAAAAATGAAATGGTATAGCTAGGTGTTCAGCTTCCTGCTCAAGTATATTAAAATTATAATATCGGTTATAATCATGGTAAAAAATTATATTATAATAACACATAATATATTACTATTAGTAGTAGTAATTTGCAGTAGTATATTTTTGTATTATGAAAGGAGGTGTGGTAGTGGTTTCTTTCTAGGCAAAGTATTTATCCATGCAAAAGTGGCAGTGCAAAATTTGTTAAGTCAAATAATCAACTACTACAAGTCAATCGGCCACTTCACTCCTTCCTTATAATTGGGCTGGCCATAGTTGTCTAAAAAGCAAGCAAAAAAGTCTACTTAAAATCAAGATTCTACATGGAAAAGATTCAAGGAAGATCAAAAACCATTTTCAAGATACATGAATGAAATTATTCAAGTGACCCTTTATATATCGTACTGCAGCAAGCATTAAACAAGATTTGGCCAGCCCCATGACGAGATTTGCCCGACTGTGCTCCTTGGGGCTATAGCCACCACATGTAATTCTAGATTTCCATCACTTTTTAATGATTGAAATGAACTTGGAAAAAAATAGCGAAACAAAATAAAATAAAATAAAATAAAAACAAATTCTTTTAGAATTTAGCTTGGAGGCATATTCCTACACACTTGGATTTGATAGCCTAGTCAACCCAATTCTTTGACGAGAGCTGGATATCCTTATCATGTTATCCATCAACTATTATACCAACACACTTCTTTCTCTATCAATTACTCTTTCAAATACAAAAATACAGAAAGAAAAAGAAAAACCAAATATTTGAATTGAAATATAAATCGCTTAAACTTTTAAAGAAGGAAGAACTCAAGTTCAGCCGCTAAATTCTAAGAATAAAGTGCAGCCATGTCTTTATTCGAAGATTTGTCATCTCTAAAAGGAAAATTACTGCAACGGGAACTCGGTGATGATGAGGTTTATTCTTTTCTGAGGCAGGACCGAGGCTAGACCAGGTTTTTCAGGAGAAGCCGAAGCCTGACGAACTAGCTTAGGAATTTATTGCTAAAATACTTTATATTAATACACCAAGATATAATATTCAATCTAAAATAAATAAATAGAATATTTCTAAAAAAATCATTTATTTGATACTCTAATTTTTGGGAGGGTGAAAATTATTATCCACTTCAGCTTCAAATAAGAACAATTACATGTAAAATAAAGGATGACTCCGGTATTAGGGAAATGATAGTATGTGTCATAACTCCAATAATAAAAGAAAGAAAACAAAAATTATGATAAATCAATACTAGAAGATACTAAAAATAAAAACTACTAAAACCACTAGATACTAAATATCCAACATTCCCCCTCAAGTTGGAGTGTAGATATCTATCATGTCAAACTTGCTTACAAGAAAATCTCAAAATTAGGCCTGAACAGTTCATTGGTAAAGAGATCCGCTATTTGATGAGCGGTAGGAATAAATGACATGCAAATAGCTACACAATCATGATGCACAATTTCTGCAATGCTTATGAAAGCTTTATTGTCAAAGTATAACTTCATTGGCATGTTTATCGGCATCTACAGTTCTTCAAGAATTCTTCTCAGCCATAACATCTCACATACTCATTAGTCATAACTCTATATTTAGCCTCAACAATACTCCTTCCAATCACATTTATTTCTTTGACATGCCTACCAAATCTGTATCAGCGTACGTCTCTATGTTCTTTTGTGAGGCCTTCTAAAAGAATAAACCTTTCCTTAGTGTACTTTTTATATATCTAAGAATTTTGTTGACTACTTCAAGGTGTTTCTAATAGGGTGAATGCATAAATTGACTCACTAAACTTACAACAACGGTAATAGCAGGCCGTGTATGTGATAAATATATCTAATTCCCCACAATTTTTTATACTAAACTGTATTCATTGGATCATCTTCCTTCCCATCTCTCATTTTTTAACTTGGATCAATAGAAGTGTCTACATGTTTACTTACATCAACCCGTCCTAGTTTCCTTGAGAGGATCAAGCACGTGCTTTTGTTGGGAGACCATTCTTTTCTTCGATCGAGCAATCTCTCCACCAAGGAAATACCGCAGAGATACTAAGTCCTTGGTTTCAAAATAGATGATAAAAAATTCTTCAAATGATTCATCTCAGAAGCATCATTTCCTATAGAATAAAATCATTCACATGCACACTCAATATGTTTATTTTTCCATTATTGGAATGTATGAAGAACATTATATGATCTCCCTGGCCTTTAGTGTAACCCCACGTTAAAAAATAGTGCAAATTTTTCAAACCGTACTCTTGGTGACTGCTCCAACCCGTTGTCGATCGAATATTCTTTGGGAAAAGATATTTGATTTAATATATATATATATTATTTTTGGAAAGTAAAATTTTAATTTTGAAAATACAAGACCAAACCAATCTCACATAAACAATAGTTTAAATAAACGAGTCCAACGCCGCAAATGATGCATCTACTCCGAGGAATAGACACATCACTTGTTAATGAGACAAATAAATTAAAGGATTTATGACATCCGTTTTAGTCTGCGAAACCATTTATGTTGACCGACAAATTTCTCTATCTAATATGAAAAATTAGATAGGGTTTATATTAAACTGAGTTCTTAAAGTTTCCTATAAGAGTAAGCCCCTATAATTAATTACATCTTAAATGACAAATGTTACCTAAGAAAACTCTTGATTTAGATCAGAAAGTATTATCTTCAAGAATTTCAAAAGTAGGACTTTTCAAAGATTGGATCAAGGAGTGTCAAAAGGGAAAGACTCAAATTTGGAACACTATTATAGAATTCAAAGGGAGAAAACTGTGTTATCACAGATCCTGAAAAGAATCTCAATGACTTCATAAACTATCAAATAGTTTGTCTTCAATTTTGACAAAAAATTATTGAATGTTTCATCCTACCAATTTTTATTATTTAGAGTTACATTTCTATGACACAATCATACAAAAAACCTGGAAGATAGGGTGTTTATGTCGTAATGAACGACAACCTCGGATTCCTAAAATGAGTTAGAGCTTAAATTGCACAACATGATTATGCAAAGGCCTAAATATGAGATGAGGACTTATGTTGCACTAAGCAAAAAATATGAAAATCCTATGACTTGTTATTAAATTCTAAAAAACGATTTATTGTTGTAGATATCCTTGATGTTGTCAGAATGCTGCCCTTGTAGTTAGCATCAAACTCTTCGTCAAAGTAGCAATTATAAAGTCTAAGGTTAAAAATGTTTAAATGACGAGTTTGTTCAATTATTATGGGAGGATTAAAGTTGATTAGAACGACACCGGTTAGGATCTCACGGTTCCCTCGTTCCGGTACAACTATTTTCTTTTGAAATAACTTAGTTTAAACGAGTTGTTAAGCTCGTTTAAACTGGGATGATCTTGTTAGCAACCGTAGGTTACCTCATTCAAGGGACTCCCGTAAATTCAAAAGGACATGTTACGAAATCGTTGTTTTGTTGTTTTTGAAAAATGTTGTTTAATTTTTAAAAAAAATGGTTTTTAGTTTTTAGTTTTTAGTTTTTTGAAAAAAGTTTTGTAGGTAAAGTAAGTACAAATAATAAAGTGCAGTAAAGTAAAAGGAAAGGAAATTGTAATGCAAAAATGTAAATGTGTTCCTGTCATCTTCTCCCACTCCCGCAAAAATATTAGAACTTACAACACAAAATTTTGCAAAAAATTTAAATAAATTACGGGAATGGAAAGCAAGAAAATCAGTTTAAGGTGTATTTACCGAGTCCTAGATCATAACTTGGTGGGTCCTTAAAGGTTTTCATGGATGATTTTTTTGAACAATGAATAATAAGTTCAATTGTCCTTCAAAGTATACAAAGGATCCTAAAAATATTCGGGGCATAACCCTAAACAACTTTTAAAATCCTTTGAAACATTTTGAGTTCATTTGATCTTATTATATTATTCAATTAAACATCTGAATTTACATTTAGTTTCAATAAATTAATACACCCTATGCTCAATAAACCTTGATAATTTAATTATCCTTATGAGTGGGTAACTATCACTCAATGTTTCATTTGTGAATTATGTAAGTGGAGGCTCTTAAGGGTAAATTGATTTTCTAAGGAATTTAGCCAATTGAAATTCAGCGTTGGGCTAGTAGTGTTTTCAAAGTGTTTTCAAAATGTTTGTGATTAGTTATATTATCTTTTCTTAACTTCATTAAACAATCTTAGATTAAGCCTAGTTTACTACTAAGCCCATTAAAATTTCATGGGTAAATTTGTAATTTTAAGAATGTTAAATTAAATGAAATTTAAATGAAATTTAATAAATGAAATTTAATTCTCATTGAAAGATCACATTTATTATTTCATCACCAATTAGGGGCTCAAATAAGTTATTATCCTCCTAGCTTAAGCCCTCTACCTCAGGTTCATCCAATATAATTAAGTTCCAAAAATAATAATTAGGGGAAATTACAATTATACTTTTATTGTGATAGAGTGAGCAATTGGTTTCTACCTCTTAATCTCTTTTGTTTCAATCATCCAAAAAAGTCAATTATGATCATACATTGCCCATGTTAGCCTAAATATTAATTAGAGCTCAAATTCCATAACTACCACTTTGCCCTTCATGGCCTTATCACTTCACAATTCCTTAAATTCAACTCAAATGACTTTAAAATTTTTATGTTACCCTACTCATAAGTCAATTAAACTATCAAAGGAGAATATGTGATTTTCCTAATTTTAATTTAATTTATATCATTATTTTAACTCAGAAAATAAGATTTTCAATGTTATTTTATTTAGTTAATCAAAGTAAAATTTTTGTTTATGGAAA